AAATGCAACTTTTCTGAAGGGTAATTAAGCCTCCTGAAGGCCACGTTACAAATTGGAATGCATCGAGGTGTCCCAGAAGCCTAGGTGGTAGAGCATACCTGTAATCCTAGCATTTAGAAATGGAGTCAGCAGGATCAGGAGGAGCTCAAAGTCTGTGGGTATACAGTGAGTTCCAGGCCAGTCTTGGCTATGTGAGACCCTTTCTCAAAAAAAAAAAAAAAAAAAAAAGGTGATAGCAAAGAGGGGATGGGATATAGCTCAGTTGGCAAGAGTTCTTGTCTAGCACGTAGGAGGCCCTGGACATCATCCCTAGCATCACATCAACCTGGTATGGTGGTGCACGCCTGTATTCCTAGCACTTGGAGGATCAGAAGTTCAAAGTCATCTTTAGCTATTGTAAGTCTGAGGCCAGCCTGGGATACATGAGACTGTCTTGAAATAAAAACCAAAAGCAAAAGCAAAACGAGTAGCAGGAAATGCACCTAATGAATTTCACTCATGTGCCAGCTTCATCGTACCCTGGATTTCCCAGGGGCCTCTGATTTGGGGGATAATTTGGGAACACATGGTTAGCAAGGACATCTAGGGCCTCCAAGAGTTGTTCGAGAGTATCTTCCCCTTGAAGTCTTAAGAGATGAATTAGTTAAGGATAGAAAGATGTATTCATTCATTCAGAACACAAAGATGACATGTTTATTTTTAGGAAATCAGTCTACAGGGATTGGAATTCTGGTAGTCACACAGTAGAAACCAAGTCTCAAACACGTTTCATACTCAAGGTGTCCCATGAACCAATGTTTCAAAGCTTTTTAAAAGTAGAAATTTAGAGCGAGATGTCTCAATTGGTAAGGTAACTGCTACCAAGCCTGACAATCTGAGTTCAGTTCCTAGGACCCACAGGGTGGAAGGAGAGACCCATTCCCACAAGTTGTTCCATAACCTCAACACACACACACACACACAACACACACACACACACACATACACACACGTTGTGCTCATGCATACACAAACAAATAAATAAATAATTAAAAAAATTTAAAGTAGTCACCATCTTCTGTAGCAATATCTGATTGCTAGTGCACCATCAAACCGTGAAGCACTGACTGAGCTGTTGCAGAGACTGCATGCCCAGGCCAGTCCAAGCTGGGGTGCAGAGTTGGTGCTTTTTGTAGGGTCTGCAGGCCTTGGCCAGCCTGAGCTTGCTTGCTTGCTTTCTTTCTTTCTTTCTTTCTTTCTTTCTTTCTTTCTTTCTTTCTTTCTTTCTTTCTTTCTCTTTCTTTCTTTTGATTTGAGCAAGTTAGTTCTGGGCACAGAACATTCTGGACAAAGTGTCTCTGTAAGAAACACCCAAGGACTGCTGCCAGTGTGCACAAAGAACGTCCATTTAACATCATAGCCTTATGGCTTCAGGAAGTATTCTTGCTTAAAACTGTGAGCCTTGTGCCAGAAGCCTCTGCACCCCGAAATCCTTTTCACGGCCCTTTCTCCCTCCCCAAACCAGATGCTCCCTCAGAGTGGCACCAGCCTCTCCTTTCTCAGAAGAGCTCCCCAAATTTTCTCTGACACTCTTTCCTGGTGGTGTCTTTGCCTTGTATTGATTTATGGCTGTTGCCTATTATCTATGGGCATCTGGTTCTAGAATCCTCCATGGAAACCCAAATCCGAGAATTTTAAGTCTTTTACTGGTGCTGCATCAGTGTATAGCCTATATACCTTGCCCCATGCACTTTAAACATCTAGACACTGAAGACTTAGTAAAATGCTAATGTTCTGGGAATAGTTGCTATACTGTATTATTTAAGGAATGCTAACAAGAAAGAACAAAATCTGTCCATGTTTAAGACAGAAACGATTAAGTTAAAACATTTCTGATCTGTTAATCTGAACCTGAGAATTCAGGAGCCACAGCTGTGGAGGGCCAATGTCATTTTTAAAGTGGACTCTAGAGGGCAGTGATCAGCAGGAGCGTCTCATCTTCCCATGAGCCGGTCACTCCCCAGGACCCTGCTGTTGTCTGTGGCCTGATTTTCAGTGTACAAATGAAACTACATCTTTCCCTTTCCTTGATCTAAAAGTCATTCAGAGTCCTTCAGAGGCAGGGGCAGAGGGGTGTTCGAAGGTATTTTTTATGTTATTTGACTCACCATTTTAGACCCTTTTATTGAATTTCAGAACCCATTTCAGCAGTCACATGAAGATTTTAAAAGTAGGTTTAGGTCTAGGGTAATAGCTCAGTGGTATAGCACTTGCCTAGCGTGCACAAGACCCTGGGTAGAATCCCATTACCACTAAAGGAAAAAATAAATAAAACAACTACAAGTTCATTTAAAAAATCTCAAGGGCTGGGAGATGGCTCAGTCAGTAAAATACTTGCCATGAAAGCATAGGACATAGGTTTGAGTCCCAGCACCCACTTAAAAGCTTTTGTTTCTCTGATCCTCGAAGCTTTTTATAAACATTTTTTTCTCCATTTTGCAATACGTTTGTTTTTAGCGTTTGTGTAATATGCTCCATCATATTGATACCTCATAATTTATGGCCGGCTCCTTTAGTGCTACACATTAAGGCTATTTCCATTTTCTCTCTATTATAAATAATGGAAGCAAGAACATCTTTCTATATACAGCTTTTTTCCTATGTTTGAATTATTTCCTTAGGACAAATTCCCAGGAGTGGGATTAGTGGGTCAAAGGGTCTGAACAGCTTTATGGCTCTTAATATTTATTGCTAAATTGCCTGAAGGGTCATTCTAATTTACAGTGCCACCTGCAACACATGAGTGTCTGTCCCTCCCAGGCCTGCCAACACTGGCCTCTTCAGGCACTACTTTGGGGCAAATTTAAGAGGTATTAAGAGGTAACTCATTACTCTCTTTAATTGATAATTTATTTAATTATTCTCAACACTAAACATTTTCTCTTAAGTTTCTTAGGTTCTATTATATATGGCTTGCTTTTCTTTCCAGAGGTTAATATATCTTGATATCACATACAGTTTAAAATAGCTAATAATAAAAATGTGAAATGAGGGGTGGGATGCAGCTCAGTTGGTAGAATGCTTGCCTGACATGCACAGGCCCTGGGTTTGATCCCTAGAACAGCCTAAACAGAGTGTGGCGGCACATACCTGTAACTGCAGCACTGCGAAGCTGGAGGCAGGCGGATCAGTTCAAGCTATTTAGCGAGTTTGAGGCCAGCCTGGGCTAGGGGTGTTGTCTTTTTCGGTCTGTCCGTCTGTCTATAGAGAGAGTGTCCAGTGTACCCAGAATGAAGAAAATAACCAGTGAGGCCCCAGGTTGAACAAATGGCCCATCCAGCTGCGTTTGCCCCTTTTTGGCCGCTCTTTTCTTTTTACCTTTGTGTTCCGTTTTATGTGTATATGTCTCCCACCTCCTTCACAGTGCCTGTCTAAAATGTGCTTATAATATAATCACAACATCCAGTTCTCTAACATACTCCAGTTCTCTAACATCACTTAATACCAGCATGTAATACAAATTTCCAAAGTGTATTTTTCCTGCTGGCTTGTTCCAGCCACTGCACATACCTTTACATTTGATTGCCATGTTTCTAAAGTCTCTCATATCAGTGTTTTAGAGATTTTTGTGGTTTTTAGACAGGGTTTCACTATGTGACCCTGGCTAGCCTGGAACTCCTTTAATAGACCAGGTGGCTGATCTCAAACTCAGAGGTCCCCCTGCCTCTGCCTCCCAGTGCTGGGATTAAAGGCATGCATCACCACGCTCAGCTTGTTTTAGAGATCTTTATTTTTGAAGGTTACATAGACTTCCACTGTTGAAATGTACTGTAGGGTTATTAAACTAGGCTCTTATTAATGGAGTTTGTCCGGTGTTTTCTAAAAACAAAAACCCTATGTCCAAATGATTTTATATTTCTGTGTGGTCTTTGGGATCTGTTGCTAAAAATGAGACTCCTGAGGAGAGAGTAAAAAGCTGCCCATGCGGTTTTCCTGTTATCTCTAGGGGTTTTCGTCAATGATAATCATGCCAGTTTAAATATTTTTTAAATTGAGTGTCTGCATTCTCAAAGATGCAGAATTGTTAGAAAGTTAGCTTGCTGTTGACTGAATCTACACACTCTTCTCACTGCTGTTTAAAACAGGGCCTGACACAAGCACCCTACTTCCTGCTTTTGAGAACCTCTGGTCTGTTCGGGGAAACATGATACCTAAATGAAAAGCCAAGAGGCTTCCAGCATGTGTCATGTTAACAGACAAAGGTGCGGTGCAGCCCGGGTCTGCTCTGGAAGCCAATTCCCCTTGCTGTAATCTTCTCCCATGAGTTCTCTGCCCTCTGAATTCCATTATTACTTTTGGTGATCCTTACCCCAAGGCAAACTTTTGACACCTGGTTGAACAGATACGAATCTATTGAGAGAAATAACATAACTGAATGTTTGAAATGTAACTTGCTTCATCAGTTCAGGCCAGGTAATTAATTTCTGTTGAGTTGTATGTGTGCATCCTGAAGCATGGTCCGTGGATCGTCAGGGCATGTTACTAATGGCCACACAGTACAGGATGGAGATGCTGAGCTAAACAAACCCAACAGGACAGCTCTGTGTCTCAGAATTCCGTTATCAGAACTTCTCAGTCAGCACTGGTTAAGGAAACAAAGATTCTGTATGTAAGGGCTGGGATGTAGCTCAGTTCATAGAGTGCTTGCCTAGCACACATGAAGCCCTGAGTTCAATCCCCAGCACCTCGTAAACCAGGCATGATGGCCCGCACCTGGAATCCCAGCACTCCAGAGGTGGAGGCAGGAAAATCAGAGGTTCAAGGGCATGCCCAGCTGCATAGCAAGTTGGAAGCCAGTGTGGGATATGTGAGACCCTACCTCAAAAAGAAAAGAATAAAACTAAAAATTAATCTATGTGCAGGTTCTATTCAAACAAGCAACAGTGTTTCTCCCCACTGACTGTCTTCAGTCATACAATTCTACACTTCTGTTTAACTGTTCTCCACCGTCTTCTTTCTAGATTGAATCATTAAAGAAGAAGGTGCAACAGAAACAGCTCCTCATATTACAGCTTTTAGAGAAGATATCTTTCCTGGAAGGAGAGGTAAGACGGTGTGCTTCTTTTAGCCCGAGTCTTCCTACCATTAAATTTTATGTTGCTGATCCTGCTGTGGACACTTAATTAAAAATATGGCTGTTTCCTGGCCTTATAAAATTGATTGAAGGTTAACTGCCAGCTCCACAAATGAGCTCCTGACAGCTCTTTTTTCTTACTTTCTCTCTCTCCTCACTCCAGCCTGCCGCTCACTGCTGCCTTTTCGAACACTCTACTTTGTCTTATTAAGAATTTCTTCAGCAGGTCTGATTTGCTGACAGTACTGGCAATTCCTGACACTTCTATAGGACTTTATAATTTGTGAATGATTTACACATGCATTCCTCTCATGGTTTTCTCTGCTGCTTAAGAAAAGGCGAGAGATTTTGGGTTTTGGTCTCTGTGTGAATAAATGGAAAAGCAGAGGCAGACTGAAGGGAGAGGTGTTGCCCGTGCTTGGAAGGGCTAGGAAATGGCTGGCTCTAGGACGGACTCCTAATCCAGTGCTCTTCTTCTGTTACATCGAGTAAACATGCTTTAGAGGTGACTTAATTTGACTTGCATCTTGAAGTTGCTTTGTATTTTTGCCTGGCTTTTTGAAAGACATTTGGGGGATTTTATGGCAGTTTCAGGAAAAGAAATTATGGTGTTGGAAGCCTCTTAGGAGGTTAGGTGTTAATAGAGGAAGCCAAAGTCCCAAAGGCTTTTTTAAAGAATTTTGCACAGAGCCTTTGCCTTCTGTGGCTCCATGAAGAGCTGCTTTGCCAAGCACCTGTCCTTGTCTGTTTCCCCCAGGAGACAGCCCAGAGCACAACAGTGAAGCAAGGAGAAAGGCAAGAAAGCACATTTATGGAGTGTCTACTGTGTGTTGATGTTGCTAGTTACTTTCCATGTGATCTCTATAACACAGATGTGAAGAGTGGAATGAGACCTACCCCAGGGCAAACATTGGCTCTGTTTATGAGCCATATGATGGGGAAAGCCCCTTATAATTATGAAGTGGGATTATAACTGCACCTGTACATCTATGTGCCCAGCAATCCTGAGAATGCACAGGAAATGCCTGGCACATACTGGGAACTCACTTCTTTGTTTTATTTTTTTATTTATTTTGTTTTTTTAAATTTAATAACCACAAGATTAGAAGAAACATTTCATTACAGCTTTAACATATTCAATAATAATTTCCGGAGCAAGGATACATCTCTTCCAAAAGTTGTTGTAAATTTTTAGGTTTTATTTTTTTGAAACAGGGTCTCCCTGTAGCCCCAGCTGGCCTGGAGCTCACTATGTAGACCAGGCTGGCCTTGAACTCACAGAGGTCCACCTACCTCTGCCTCCCGTGTGCTGGGACTAAAGGTGTGCACCCACCACACCTAGCTCGAACACTCACTTCTTAACTTGTTCTTTCCTTATTAAAAGGACTGCTCTCTGAATTAAATGATATTTTCCATGTTTTAAATGTAGGGAAACTTGAGTTTCCAGGACATCATTTCCTGCCCATGGTTACCATGGAAATAGTGAGCCTGAATCCAAAGCCTACCTCTTTCCTGCCTGCTGGCAGACATAGCAGAACAGGTCTTCAGTCACTGTGCTTTGGAGGGGCTACCTGTGGCTGCCACCAGGAGCCCCACAGGCCTGCTTGGGGCCTGGTATCAGATCCAAGGTCCAAGAGTCTGTCTCTTGAAACTGAGTAAATAGTTTTCTCTCCCCATTCATGTCTTGCCATCCATAGTCACTGGGTCCAGTGCCAACCTGTTTGTTTATTTGTTTGCTTGCTTGCTTTGCTCATATAGCCCAGACTGGCCTCAAACTCACTGTGTAGCCAAGGCTGACCTTGAACTCCTGACCCTCTGCCTCTACCTCCCAAGTGTAGAATTACAGGTATGTGCTGCCTCCTCTGGTTCCCAGCACCAGCCTCTGATCAGCATGTTTATTTCTGAGATTTCCTTCTGAAATTTCATCTTCTCTGTGTTTACGGGCCTGGTGGTACAGAATCACACCTTCCCTGGTGACAGGTAAGAGTATCCTGGAAGATTCATGTGTCCAAGAGAGAAGGAGCTCCAGAAGAGCGGAAAGAGCCGCTGACAGGAGAGACAGAAGATCCCCCAGGGGGTGCTCACCTTGCCTCTGTCTGTGGCACTCCCAAACTCTCCTAGAATGTCCGGCGGGGCGGGGGTGTGCACCGGTGCCCCAGGAGGAGGCTTACAAACACATGCTTTGCTTAATGCTCAGATTATTCATCTCAGCTCATGGTTTGAGTTGCTGAGATGTACATGTGAGTTTAGTTGGGGGTGGGGAGGGGTGTGACTCCAGGAAGCCTCAGTCAGGGTGTGGGGAAACAAGGCTAGGAAAGGAAGCTGACCATCAGTAAATGGGCCCTTCTGCAGCAGGTGACCACTGTGGGCAGCTGTGGCTTATGGCACTTGGAGTCTCTGGGACATGCCGTGCACTAGCTTGAGTCATCCCTTCCCGGAGGCCAGAGGATAGGGCATTCACTAACTCCCTGCCCATTAAGTGACTGGGTTCTGGGCTTCTGGCTTTTCGACTAACCTAACGGCAGTAAGACTGGTCCTCTGGTGTTCCCAGAAGCACTAGGTGAAGATCGCAAAAGTGATGTGTCAGGAAGTAGAAGTGTCCAAGGATTCAGGAGGGTATGCAAATCTCATCAACAAGACTATGAAACCCAGTTTTTCTTGGGTATTTAAACACTGATTATAAAGCTGACTAATTTCCCTAAAACTATTTAAATCCAGTGCAAATTTAATATGGCTGATTTCCCTCAACTAAGTCACATACTGGCTTTAAACAGCAGACGAAACATAAAATACATCACATGACAAACTTTAACAATAAACAGTTTTAAATATTCTAAAATATGAAATATCCTGGATTTAATTAATTTCTTCGTTATGTCTGTTAATTTTCTTTGTCCCCTCCTAAGGCTACTATTTTACTTTAGTATTTTGTGTGTGTGTGTGTGTGTGTGTGTGTGTGTGTGTGTGTTCACGTGGAGGCCAGAGGACAGCCTTGAGTGTCATTCCTCAGGAGGGCTGTATACCTTTTTTTGAGACAGGGTCGCTCACTGGCATGGAAATCACCAAGTAAGCTAGGCTGCCTGGCCAGTGAATCCCAGGAATCTTCCTGTCTCCTCCTCCCCAGCGCTAGAATTATAGGCACGTGACATGATGCCTGGCTTAAAAGCATTATACATATACTCTACTGACTTATTCCTGCTGGCTGTGTGTGACTACTAACACCAATGAATTGCTGCCCCTCTTTCCACCTGATTGTTGTGTGCTTATAAATGCTGAGCCATCCTTCTGTTTGCGGGGAAGTCTTGGGGTGAGTTGATCCTCACTTCTTTTTATTAATCTAACTTAGCACAGTGATATTATAAACAGACATATAGTTAATAAACCACATAACCTTATAAATACTTCCTAGTTTAAAAATCAATAAAAATTTAACATATCTTAAAGTCACCCTACTTTTCTATTATAAAACCATCTTGGGTACCATATGGTGACAAAATTTAATTTATTTACCTTATATACTGTGTTAATTTTGCCTTTAAGTGTTGTCATGAACACAAGGCATTTATCAGATTCAGCTTGCTTCTGTATCATAATTATTTCATGATCTACCTATAGACAGTTTTCTGTTGCTGTAAGAAAATACCTGAGGATAGATAAATGAGTGATGATCCTGAGCTCTTACACACCCTTGTCTTAGCCTAGTCCTGCCCCACAGCCCTAGGGGAGTGGACAGTGGCATGCCGGAACTGATTTCTCCTGGCTCACAAGAGCTAGCTGTGTGCCTCTTGTAGGGCTCATATGTGTTCATCTCACAATAGTTCACAGCTGAGCATAGCTATGAATGTGGCCCAACACAAAATCATAAACTTACCTAAAATGTCATGAGGGGACCTGAGTTCAACCTCCAGAATTCATATAATAAGCTGAATGTGGTGACATGCTCTTGTAATCCCAACACTAGAGATGGGGGCAGGGGGGTGTCCCTGGAGTTTGCTGGCCAACCAGCCTTGACTACTCAGTGAAATCAAGGCCAGCAAGAGACCCTGTTCCATAAAACAAGGTGGGTGGTGCCTGAGGAATGACCCTTGAGGTTGACCTCTGACTGCCACATGCATGAGCACTGATACAGATACACACACAAAGAGATTTATTTTGCGGTTTTTTTTTTTTTTTAGTCACTTGATTTCACAGTTCTCAAGTTTGAACTCTGAGGGTGACAGCATTGGGTTGCAACCTCAAAGGTTGGATATGCCTGAGAGGAGATATTTTGACTATGTTCTGCCTTTATCTATACATGAACAGGAGCAGATCATTCCACTCACTGTCTGGGCTCAGCGGCTCCATCTTTTAGAAAGGCAGGAGGAAGAAGGAAAGACTCATGCTATCACTGAGATTACTTTTATTTTAATGTTTGAAAGCATTGTTGGCTTTTTAAAAATATATTTTATTTATTATTTTTATTTTTGTCTATGAGTGTATTGCCTGTGGGAATGCAAGTGCACCCATGTTGTGCAGTGCCTGCATTCAGAAGAGGGTGTTGGATTTCCCTAGAACTGGAGTTACAAATGGTTATTAGCTGCCATATGGGTGTCGGACTCAAACCCAGGTCCTCTGCAAGAGCAGCCAGTGCTCTTAGCCACTGAGACATCTCTCCAGCCCCCATTATTGTTGGCTTTATAATGTTTTTCAAATCACACCTAGACAGCCAGCCCAGGAGAACACTACCTGATCCTGGGCTCAGAGAAAAGGTCTGGCCCTTCCCTAAGTCAAGGTGATGACCTAGAATCTTTTCTCTTTTAAAATAGAGAAGGTGGTTAGTCCTTGGATATATTATTTACCCTTACTGATGTTTAAAGTTATTGGGTTTTACATGTATGTGTACCTCAGAAATACACACCAAATTAGGAAGAGTAATTTTTTTCAAGTTTCTAAAGTAAAATTAGAAGCCTAAATTCCTTAATGAATGATAAA